TAAATTAAAAATCCTTTATTTATTATATTTCTTACTAAAAGTTAACCTTCTTAAAAATAGCTTTACTTTATACTAAATTAAGTAATATAGATTAATTAATTAAATTAAAGCCTTAACTAATAAGCTATCTAAAGACAGTTATAAATCTAAGGTATTAAGTAATTATTAACCTGCTTAAAGAACTAATAGTCGTCGGTTCAAGTCGATATTGTTAATGTTTAATAAGCACCTTGGTATTCTAACATCACAGAACTGTGCGAAGCTATATACTTCGCAAAGGCATTTGCAGCCACAAGGCCAAATACTTGCCCCAAGTCGGTTATATTTCCTACATGATGTTCCCCGTTTCTTCCATTAGGTACAGACAATGTACAGAGAATGCCGACTTCCGGCTCACAAGTCAGGGGTCTTTTCAAGCCTCAGCCAAGAGCTGCCAGCACAACAGCTGAGTTCCGGAACTAGGGAAAATCATTGCAAGCTTAACCATGCTGCGCCAATCACGGCTTGTGTTAGAGATAAAATGACTAGCCTGGGCGCTCGGTACAGCTAGCGACACCAGACAACCCTTGCTGTTTCTTCACGACTTCAACCAACACACTTTCTCTAGATGGGACTTTTTCAGGTAGGGCACAATAAAGCCGCAAGACCTTGATAGAACAGCTTCTTGATCTAGTGCTATATGAGAGACTTCGGAGAAATCGTCTCACATGCTCAGAATGATCACAGTCTGGCTTTGGGGGCCGTGGTGTGGCTGTTCTCACGACCTTCCTTCTTCGTCTACCTCAGAGCAAACATAACTTAGCTTGGTACAGAGTCTTGACTTGTGAGTAAGTCTCTGCATATCAGGCTTCCGGGTGTGACAAACGAGTCTTGGGATTCGCCGACCAAATTCACTCCTTGACCGCCGGTTCTGTTGGGCCATGTAAGTCCAGGGGAAGCGTGATCGTTGTGTTGCATAAAACGACCAGGACTATTGTGCTCATACGAAAGCACGGTCGGCAAGGACTTTATGAGTGAATACTAGCTCAGAGAGCTCTCTTCCGTGTATAAATAGAGGCGTTGCTTCCACAGAAATCTACTCTGTTCATCAAGCACCTCATTCCTCAGTTCGTACCTCAACCACTCCATTCAAACAAACACCATGAAGTTCTCTGCTCTTGCAACCGTCCTCGTCTCCCTCGGTCTCGGTGCCGACCTTGCTGTCGCCAAATGTGATAGTGGTTGCTACCTCAAGGTCTGCGACTGGAGAAACCTCAAGGGCAATTGTCATACCAAGTGCTACCAAGGCAAAGACATTGGCCATGTGGTCAAGGTTGACAAATCTGGCCTCAAGGGGCCCATCGTTTCCGCAAAGAGCAGTAACGGTTGCGGGTGTACCTTTGGTTACAGCAGCGGGTACGTGTCGCATATTATGATCTGTCTCTGCTACATACAGTCAGCTAATATACAGCAACAGAAGTGCCTGCCAATATGTCGGTTCCGGTTCCAAGGGAACCAACTTCGCGACCCAGTGTCTCAAGGGCGTCGACGAGGTGCAGTGCAACAGGCTCTAAGATATTGACATAGTTGGCCAGCTTCATCAGGAGGCATGGGGCTCTGAAATGGTCTTTGCAGGGGATTGCAACAACACACCGGGATCCATCTTGCGGTTCTCAGAGGCTAGTGATCATCTGGCTTGGTACACAAATAGACTTCCAGGGCGCGTAATTCAAAGAATGGATCCTAGAGGCACCTGTCTGCCAAATGCTGCTCAGTCATCCTGCTCATATGACGCTCCAAACCGCCACCGGTATGCCATTTCGACTCCAACAGGGATAAACAGTATAATAGATACAATCTGTCCAAATCCCCAGTAATTCCCATCGTATTTCTCGCCCATGTTCTCCGACATTTGTTCCTGGACGTTCCTAAGGGTGAAGATCACCACCAGCAGTGGTATAGTCAGTCCAACAAACACAAGAAGCGGAAGGACGGCAACAAGTGGCCTGTCACTGAACCACTTATTGACACGCTCACGCCAAGAGGCCTTGTCTTCTGCTCCTTTGGCATCCTTTGCCTTCTCGTCATGGTCGTAGCATGTGCCAGGCAGACCAGCAAGGAGCCAGAATGTGAAGATGTATGTAATCAAGGAGGCAGTCAATTCTAAGCCTTTCAGAGATTTGAAGGTTGTCGATCGCCCAATATTTCTGTACTCTGCCGGAAAGCACATATCCTCAACGACACTCCAGTCTGTAGGCGATACCTCTGAGTCCTTCCCCTCACCAATGGGGCTTATGTCAAAGGCATGAATGCACCTCGATATGAAGGGATAGAATGACAGTGCAACAGTTACACTGAGGAGCAGGAGCCTAGCGTTGTGTTTAATATTGGCTCTCATGCTGCTTTTCGCTGCTGGCTCCAACAGAGCAACGGGGTACAGAAGTGGCATCAGGCTAACGACGGCGACAGTTTGAGATATTCGGGCCTCGATAGCGCCCAAGTCCGCGGTGCTGATGCCATAGTCTTTGAGAGCAAGTACAGCGATCGTAGCCAGCTGTAGTGCTAGTGCAAAATATGCAGCAGAGTCGACAAATGCTTCAAGGCCGGCTTTTGCAACTTGATGCCTTTGGCTATTCATACCGCTTCGCTTGAACATTATGACTGCCAGAGACAGGAATATGCTCAATATGATCTCGAGAACATAGCCAACGGCAACCTGTTGCGGAATATCAGCTGCAATACATCTTGGTGTAGAGGATCCTTGAGACAAACTCCAATGCCAGATATGTCAGGATTTCCTGTGCCGTAGATGGCGTTGCATATCTCGCTCTTGCAAGACTCTAGTATGCTCTTATTAAAGTGCGTTTTAGAGTCGAGGTCCTGAATGTATTCGCTGAAATCGTTTAGTTCTGTCCATTGCGAGCAATCGATGCTAGGACTAGACATCTTGACTGATGCTAGGTGATGATTACGACGAACATGCCGCTGGGATGTTCAATCTCGAAATTATGGGCAATGTCACTCACTGACTTCAGCCCGATTTTGTCTCAAATGTTATCTAGACCAATACTCAGCTGCGGCTGAAGGCGGCGTCTTCTAGGCGCAGCCAAGATCCAATAGCAACAAATGAAAAGATGATCAGCGCAGGTAGTATCGATAGTTTATGCCACTGGCTTGAAATGTATAGACCGAGTGCCGAGCCTCGTTGCACAGTGCCGGCTCTCATATAAGGCTCAAGCCTCGAGACGTTCTTACCCATCAACAGAGCCGGAAACCTATTCAAGTGTACAGAAGCCCGTTCTAGTGATACTACTGTAGTGCTCTGAAGATGTTGAGATCCATTTTCCTATTCATTGTTGGCTTTAGTCTTGCTGCGCTGGTCGCTTCACAAATCAGCAGCAGTATTGGGCTTTCAGAAACTTGCGGGTACATCGATGGAGGTAGGGTTGTCATGACTGCGTGTATGCTATCAACTAATGGAAGGACTTATCCAGATTTCGATCGTGCAATCGAATGCACTTCTAGAGCATGCGGGTTTTTGTTTATATATGGCCACGACAATATCTATGCTGGATGCTGTGGTGTTGATAGGTGTGCAATCGCAACTACATGCATTGAGTCAGGCACAGCTCTGAACAGTAATACCATTCAATGGTAGGCTCACTGATACTAGATTCAGAAAGCTATGTTAAAGCAGATACAGCACGGATGGTTCGCTTTCTGCATGTGCAACCTACACATGGCCACAACTCTCGGCAGAAGCATATTTCTGTGCTACGGCGAGGACCACAGCGACGGTCGTTACAGATACAAGAGAGACAACTTCTGATGGTCCGGTTACCATTACTGTGAATCCAACAATTGAGCCCTCAAGAACAGACGGTGGGTTTTCGAGTACAAACGGAGGAGGTCCTGAACCAACAAGCGGCGACAGACCAAACCTCGGGACCGAGTCTGGTCAGTGAATCACTTGATAGAGAATGTCTCGGTATTCTTGTTAACCGCAAAGCAGACTTGAGCTCGCGACAACGGATAGGCGCCGGGGTGGGCTCGGGGCTTGCTGGTGGGCTACTGTTGATCTTTTTTGCGTGAGTGTTTAAGCCATCGTTTCCTATGACTGACTGGAAACGCGCACCAGTCTGACGCTTGTCTAGAATCTTCGGGTGCTGCAGACAAGGCAAAAGGAAGAGTCTGAGGCCACAGGCCGATTCGAAACCCATGCTACAGAAAGATGTTCAAGCGCAGGTCAGCTCAGCTCCCTTGAAACAAGGACCGGTTGGCAATGGCCTCCTTGTTGGGAGGGAAGCTGAAATGGATGGATGACATGGCGTTATACCAGAATGAGCATCAGATTAGTTGATAATTGCAGCAAAAAAGGAAACCATTGAGAGTAAGTGAAGTGAGCATGACGATTTGGAAGAATTGGCTATAGAAAATCGAAATCCACAGAATCGATAGTCTTGTATGTATGATCTCGATAGTTATCACGAAATCGTGCCAAGACTCCACAGGGCAATGAGACACAGTGTCTCTGACACTTGTCACCGACTGGTATGACGGAGCTCGTGTTTCCACCGCCACCAGACAAAGAATGCAGCAGGGCAGGGCAGGGCAGGGAGATAGCACGGGCTGAGGTACATTGCTGGCAGAGCCCAGAGATATCCCCTCGTGTCTTTTCAAGAACGATGATCCCCGACGAGAAGTTAGAAATGGATGGACCTGGAAGAAGAATTCTGATGCTTGATCACACGTATACGTAGTCGCGGCGCAGTAATCAACTCAATCTCCATTATCATATCGCGTGCGGGCAAGCAGAGTCACGAAATTGGAAAGTCGATTGAGGGAGGTGAAAGCGGCCACCAATAACTGGTGAGTTTTTAAGATTGAATCTTCCAAAAATAGCCCTCCAGGCTGGATAAAATAAGACTGGGGATCAACGGGCCGCATACCAGCGAACGGTGACAAATGCGCAGCCTGATTATTGATGGACTTATTATGCAGGCAAAGGGGACTTTTATTATGAGGTTATGTGAGGCTATAACTTCCATGTCGTGTAATGCAAGCCGCATATAAAGATGCATGCATGTATGCGTATGCTGCTGGCGGAAAGGGACTACGTATTTGCGTTGGCCTCACTAACCCTAGCGCAGGTCATTTCCGTATCAGATACGGAGTATCCGTGGTTCTCAAACATATATCGGTTTGTACAGATACTCCGAAGTTACTATGTATATGTCTGCGTTTGTGTCTATGTTCTCTGTTCGAGACTAGATCTCTTCAGCAGACAGAAAATCGGCGACAATGGATGTGACTTGTACGTCTTCCCTTCCAAATAAGACCAGAAAACATCCGACGAGGCACAAAAACGGTCTTGGCGGATGGTTCGGAACCAAAGCCACGTTGAGCCCAGTAACGCCTCAATGTCTTGAAGAGACTGCAGCCCAATCACTTGAGATTCAGCATTCCCATATAAAGAGGCCATAACGTTTGTAACCATGGTACAAGCTTCACTATTATGTCAACAGTCAATCTAGTCGTCAATGCGGCTGTATTTCGGTATGTTCGAGACGGGACGGACTTATTACACAGGTCCAATATGTTAAAGGTGCCTGAGGCACCTACCTTGTATATCAGCCGGACCTCCCGGCCCAAGACCTTAGTTAGCCACAGTTAATATATATACATCCCTCTTAACAGGTTATAAGCCCCTTATATACATATTTACTATATAATTAAAGGAATTTTAGCTATTACTATTAAATTTAAAAGGCAAAAATACCTTATTATAAAGGTTAAGCTGCTAAAAAACCCTTTATAGAAAGAGAATTAAGTACTTAAAGTGCTTTATATTCCCTAAAAATAATAAAAACTAGTATTATTTAAACTAATAATACTTTAATTTACTAAAAAATAAGGTTATAACTAGTTAGGCCTAATAATAAACCTATAAATATTTATTAATAAGTATATTTTATACCTTAAACTAAATTATTAAAGGTTATATATTAAGTAATTACTTTATATAAAAAGCTTAAAGCTATATTGCCTTAGTATAACTAAAAAAATTATAAAAATATAAAAAGGTAAAATAGGTAAAATTAAACCCTAACCTTAAAAAAAAAGCAAGGTAAATTAATTCTTTAAAAGCCTAGTACTAGTTATACTAACCCCTTATATTACTTTACTTTATAATAGCTTTAGTTATA